CGCACAGACGTGCACCCGACGGTGCTACAAAATGGAACTATCGTAGAATTAGCAGCGGCAGGCAAATAGAAGATTGTTGATGATTTTTGTGAAATCACCAAGAGCCGAATCATCACAACGATGTTGCCTCATGGGGAAGTATCGCCAGCGAAAAGAAGAAATTGCCATTTCGTTCGCTGGATGAAGGATAACTAGTGTAGACGGACGATCCAGTTGACATGACCGTGCAGCATTGATAGTAAATGTACACAGCATCGACGGTGGCAATCGAAGGCGACCTCATCGACCAGCGATATGATATCCCTTGTTATTTGACGAAGTTTCAAGAGCTGCGAAAAACTGTCAAGCTAAATTGGCGATATACAGGAGCAGACGCCGGTAGCTAGCTTTATACACAGCAAAAGAACACTTGGACAGAGCAGCGCCTTATTACAATATTTCTAGAGTTCCTAACTACGAAAATAGGAACATGCATTTCATGCTTCAAAATTACTGGCCTACATAATCGCGTCGTGTATGAGAAAATACATATATAGGAGACTTCAATTGTTTGAACCCAAACATTTACTGATATAGCGTCTTTGTTGTTATTTCACCATATAATTATAGTAAAAGAAAAACAAATAATAAAAGCCACTCCGTTTGTCAATCGCCACAGGAAGTAAGTCGTGCTCGTGACTTTAAAAGTTGTCCTTTTTCCTTTCCTACGGGAGGCCTATTCGGCAAATTTCGTTTTACTGATTGTTTTTCGCTTTTAAATTCGATTAGAATTAAAAAAATATCGAGAACTTCGCAATATCGGCTTCGGCTCAAGTCGCCCGACAGTCGCTATGAACCCGTTCTTTTGCATTCGAACTAGTCGTAAATTCAGAACCAGTACTAGCCTCGATCAGACGCTTTTTCTGTGAATAAATTTATAGAAAATTCGATAATATAGCTAAAGCAATTAAAATATTAGGATTTTTCCTCTTCTCATAGATGCCATATTCGAATATCCATACCCGATTTGTTTGTCGTTGAAGCGAGATGCTCACACGCGCAGTCGCACGCGACCGCCATCCCGACTGCGTTTGGAGTTTAACTTCACACAACCCAGAATATCTTCACTGAGGACAACACGTCGCTTCTGCGCAACTTACAGGAGAACTCGAATCAACTCTACCGCTAGCTGATTTATGGTCACAGCTCGTCACAGTCAACGCTTCTTACGCGACTATGATGTCCTTCTGCAAGGCTTCCTACCTCGTAGCAGCTATAACGAGCCAACATATCATTCCAGATGAATTCCTTTGTGAATTGCATATTCTTACTAGAAATGATGAACGGTAGTAGATAAAATCATAATGACTATTGCACTCAAAAAATCTATATACAGGCCACCGGGTATGTCCTACGATCATTAACAGCAGCGAAACCACAAGGACCAATATAACAAGACGACTGAGTCGGACGCGCTATTCACTTTATAGCCTTCGTGACATCGCTACTGCGAGCACAAATTATGAACATGCCACATGTAAACTAGTAGGAGATGGTGGCTAGGAACCATACAAACCGTCTCTAGCCCAAAGGGCTAGTTTTCGTAGGGGCGAAAGACGACCGTCTCGCACCACAACACAACGTTCACTCTTTCAGCAGGCCGCTTTTCTGCTCTCGAAAGGCACCAACATAGCCTTTTCTGTTCGGAGCAGCGCACAAAAGAGCATTGAGGGAGACAAAAAAAAGTCGAGTTTGACGTCACGTTTGTGGGCTTCAAGTTCATCGTGGAGTAGGTAGAACAAAGGACAAGAAACGGAGATAGGGGTGTAGTGCAACGGTGATCGCCATATCGCTTGGTACTGTCGTAACTCCAGGAAAAGAATATAGATCAATACAGAAAAAGAAATAAAAATAAGTAGTCATAAGCGCTGTCGCGGGAATTCCAGGTGAATTCAAAAGAATGGTCAGCGGTATTAAATGGATGCGTTGACGAACTAGAGCTGGTTTCTCTTTAGTGTGCGACTAGTCGCTTTCTGACATTCGCCATTGAATAAATCTATTTCTAGAGACGAATCTGGCTGGTGTTTTATAAGACCACAGCTCTCACAACAAAACTTTTTTGTTGCGTCAACTAGACGACATCGAGTAGAAATATCTTGCATCATGTGTAACAAACCCGTCATATCGTTCACCAGGAGCATCGTAAGGTCAGGAAGTAAAGCATTTACCTACTAAAAAAGGCTTACCTACATACAAACACAAAGGATGCGTAAAGTTTTGACTAAATACGATTTTCACTACGCAAGGTTAATACATAACGAAATTATAGGCCATCGTTCTGGATTGAATTGCTTTTTACTCATTAGAAAAATAGTCATCAGGATTTAACAGGAGATTCATAACAGACACCCATGTATGTATATATATATATGGTCTAGAATTAGACATCATAGACCGACTTCAGAGTCTGAAGTCGGGTTATTTCGAAAAACATCGAGGTAGCGATACAACATCATATATATATATATA